CTACAATCTCTGCACTCTCCAGTGGGCACAAGGTCATTTGGTGCATCCAGGCTTGGGGCCCACTCCTGGCTGGCGGGCCTTACACCGAGACAGCTTCCCTCTTCCTCCAACGCTGTCCCTGCTTTGCGCTGGCTGCACAACTACCCTTTGAGGGAACCGTCGAAGCTTCTAGACCAGCGGTCTCCAACCTGGACGTTTGCCTAGCAAAGACTGCCTCAACCCTCTGTGCTGAATTCTAAAAACTTTCATCTTGGTCTTGGTCTTACTCTCCCTCTTTTCCCTTCCCTTCTCTTCTTCCCTCCTCTCAGTCTCTCTCTGTGTCTCTCCGTCTCTCTCTCCCCTTCTCTCTGTCTCTCCTCCCCCACGCCCTCCGCCTCTCCTTTCTTCTTAATCCCAAGGTTTAACTGGATGAGCATTAAGGAAATTCGCCTGCAATTTGGGATTAGATAAATACTCTCATGGGGGGGGGGCGGGGAGGGTGTCCTTCTCACTCTAAACCTCCCACTTGCCCGGGAATGGAGGGGGACCGCATCAGGAACCGACAGCGACCGGCTCCCGCGCGGTGGGCCTTGGGGACCGCGCAGGCACATTCCAATGCGCACAGCCGCCCCACTTCGTCAACCTGACCCAGGCAGGGTTCCGCGACTGCCAACGAACCCGCCCTGAGGAGGCCAGAGTACCAGAGAGATCCAGCCAGAGCGTGAGCCCGGGGGCCCCAAGAGGGCCAAGGCAGGCTCACAGCCGGGAGGCCCGAACAGGGATGCCGCCAGTGCACACCCCAGGACGTCGACATTTTCGTGCCCGCCAAACTAGAACGCCCTAGTCCGCGCCATTCCCCGGAACAGGGGCCAGGAGTATATTTCGTTTCTTTCTTTAAACCTCAGCACAGTCCGGGTGGCTCTCAGCCTGACAGTCCGCCTTTGGGGCTACTCCTAGTGGGGACCCGGGAGCCTAAGGTGTGTGCTCGCTCTGGCCGCGCTCTGCTCTGCGCTGCTTCTTTTCCGCCCACAGGTTTTATCTCTCTCCCTCTCATTTCCCCCCTTTCATTGCGTTCTTTTATTCTGCTTTCTCTTTCTCTCGCTTTTGTGAATGGGCCGCGGTGTCTTTGTTCTGGAGAGAAGCGCCCGTGTCGCTGACTTTTGTGAACCAGAGAGGGATCTTGTAAAACCTCCTTTTCTCCTCCGTGGTCCCCCGCTCACACCCCTCCTTCCCTGCCCCTTTGATTAGATGTTCCCTCATCGTTCAAAAAAAATGTAATTTCGTTAGTCTGGCGGCCACTTTCTTTGAACATTAGCTCGCTTTCAGCTCCAACTTCAATTAGAAGGAGTTGATTTTGAGAGATCAACAAAAGAACCGACCAAAGCCTTATTAAAGGTCCTAAGAAGATCTCTCGGTCCTTTGAGAAGCAGTTAAGGAAACAGTGTGCTCCCCATCATATTCTGTTACCGTATTTTATTCGGACTCCAAAGAAAAGTGTCGCTTGGGGGAGGGGAGAAGCACTTTGATGAGCGGCAGTCGCGGCCCCTTTTCACTCAGCGGGCTCCCCCTTCCTTCTGGTCGCCCCGCGCCCGGTCAGCGATCGGAGCGGACGGCGCGGCCTCGACAACGAGGTGCTCCCGTCTACAGTGCTCTCGGCGGCTCCCAAACTCACCCACGCACATACTCGGGCTCAAACTTTTTACCCGCCTGTTGGGGTGAGATTGGGAGCAGATACTAGGGAAGGGCACAAATACGGTTCCTTGTGTTCAGGAGGACATCCATTTAAAAGAATTGCCTTGCTCGTGGTAGAGTCGAAAACATTTTTTTTCTCTCTCGCTTTGGAAAGTCCACACAGGTAGACGTCCTTAGCAAGTTTATTCGGCGGGGAACTGGGGGTCTTCCAGTACGAACAATCCGGGGAAATGGTTTCCAAGAGGCTCCTCCCGTAATATGTAGAAAATGAAGTGAGGGGTCGGGGTCTGTGGCCACACCTTCCACCAGACTGTCCCCGGTTAGGTGGAGACGCGGAAGGACAGACCGGGTGTGAAAAAGAAAGTTTTCTATCAAAACCTCAAGCCTAAGAAGTAAAATGTGGGGGGTTGGGTGGGGGGTGGGTCTGACTTCCAACGGTTCCGAAGAAGCTTTTAGGATTTGCGAACACCTTTGGTGGGGACCGGGAGCCCCCCGGAGACGCGGAGCAGCTGGTAAGTGGCGGCGCCTCCCCTGCGGTCTCCCCCAGGGCGCGGGAGTCCCGGGGTGCCCTGAACTGCACCCCTCCCAGCTCGGCTCAACTGCCCGCGCCCGTACGAGCCGCTCGCAGGTGGGGGGCGCGGAAGGAAGAGGCTCTGGGGCCCGGGGCGCCCCAAAGAGAGCCAGGGGCCGGAGAGCCTCAAGTCCGCCGCTCGGGAAGCCTCGCGCCCACACCCGGGCTGCTGCGAAGCCCGGCGGCGCGCGCGCCAGAAAGAACCGGTTACCCAGCACCTTTCTGCCACTCCTTCCTAGCGCGGCCAGGGCGAGAGGAGGGCGGGGGCCCCCAGGCGTGCCTCGGGACCCGGGGCCCCCTCTGCTCCCGCGACTCCAGCGCTGCCTTCGCCCTCTTCGACTCGCTCTGAGCGGAATTTGCCACCCGAGCCCGAGAGTTAGCGCGCGACCGGGGCGGGGCTGGCGCGCGGGGAGGGCGGGGGGTGGGGGCGGGGGAGGGCGGGGGCGCGCGGAGGTAACCCCGGCTCGCGCTGCCATTGCCCGGCTCCCTGTCACTCAGCCCGCTCTAGGCCCCCTATTGGCGGCCTAGCCCCGTTACGCACTCGCCTCGCGTTCACATACCCGGGGAGGGCAGTAGAAAGGTGATCAATCTTCATCAGGCTACATTTCCAATCACCTAAACAACCGAGCAAGACAAGCCACTCCGACAAGGTAAATTGCTTGATTTATTTAGTTTGCCAAGTGACTGTGCAGGATTTCTTCAGTCCCCACCGCCTCCATGTTGCACCGGGAGTGCAGCGGCCACCGCCAGCCACCTCCGAACTCAGTCCCTCGACAACCCCCCCCCCCCGAGTCCCGGTTGAGGCCAGGTTTTGGGGAGGAAAAGCATGTGGGACTTTGCAAACAAAGTATTTGTGCAATAAAGTGAAACCCGGAGGAACACGCACAAAAGCTCCTGGAAAAAGCAGGAGACGGGAAGAGGGAAGTAGGGGAAAGAAGAAACCCGGGGGTCCCAGACCCGCCACCGGGGTAATACCTGTGCGGCTCTGTTTTGCAGGTTGGCTGCCAGGAGGGTCTTGCTGAGGGCGCGAGGTAGATGGTGAGCAGCCCCGGCAGCGGAGGGCAGGTAAGGAGGGCGCCGCGCGCCACCCCGGGACGGTGGTGGCTCCCTTCGCCTCCCCTTCCTCGAATCGACCCCCCGCCCCCGCTACCCAGGTCCCCGGCAGGTGGACGGGGCTGTTGGGGGGTGAGAGGCCGGACACCCCTTGGCTGCACCAGGGACCCTAGGCCGCTCCCGAGCCGGGCGCCCCCTCCCCCGCCTCCTCCGAAGCTGCGGAACTAGGGTGCTAAGTTAGATGAAAGTATTCGAAAACTCACGCCGCGCTTTCGCAGAACCGCCTTGGCTGGTGGCCTGTGGCCCTCCGGCCCAAGTACTCTGTTTCCCTTGGGGTCCCCTCCGCCTTCTGTGCCAACTGGCCTTCCTTACTCCAGGCCGCGGGTCCCCAAGGACCGAAGCAGGAGTTGGAGTTGAGATGGAAAAGCTGCTTAAGTCCTGCCTCCTTTTTCCCTGAGTTCCCTACCCTGGGCTCCTGGCAAAGCGGGGCGTAATTAGAAGCCCCTCTAGGGTCCCAGCCCTACCCCCCACCAACCCCTTCTGCTGCTGGAGAAGAGGCCAGGGGCTCGCAGTGTCTGCGGCCGAGCCTCGCGCTCCCAACTCGGGTGTGAGTGAGCTTTCTAACTTGAGGCCTAGTTCTCTGCTCTCCACCGGGTTCGTAGAGGACTGCGAAGAGCCCACGCGACCCGACCTGGGTACTCTGGCTCCTGAAATCCCAGCACGCTTTGAGCCGCTGGGTTGGTCAGCCTTTATCAGACCCTTGGTGGGACTGGGAAGCTCACCGGGACTTGGTCGAAAGCAGGCCCGGCCTGCGCAGGCTTAGGAGGGAGGGTGGCCGCCTCTGAAGCACTCCTGACCTTGGGCGGCATCTGGAAAATGCCACTTCTACAGTGGAGCCTTTGGTGTCTTCTTGCCGCCTCACCCGGGCCTGGGCCGCATCTGCCCTGGAGGTGCGGTGGGATTCCGGTTCAGCCACCTCCGAGAGTCAGGGGCCCAGAGAGGTCAGCTCGACTGGTGATTGCGGGCTCTGGGGGAGGAGGCAGCCCTGGAGATCTCTGTAGGAATGATGTGTCCAAAGTGTGCAGTCGCCTGGCGAACCAAGGTGGACTAACCTTGGGCCTCTGTAGGGCCAGCGGGTTTGTCAAAAACCATTTGAAACGTAAACGAAATAACCCCGTACGCCCTGTACGGCCTGCTCTCCCGGCGCCAACTGAACATTTGCTTGAGCAAATTGCTTCCGCCGCACTCAAAAAAAAAAAAAAAATTGACTACACTTGGGATCTTGCACCCTCCCCGGTCCCAGCTCTCACCTCCTTGGCCTGATCATCACGCTTTTAAGTTTTCTTTCCTGTTGACAGTCGAAGGAGTGTCTTTGGCCCCTGTCAAGCCATAAAAGAGGAAGGAACGGATGTAGGGAAAGTTTTCTTTTCTATGAAGCTGTGTGCTTGCTGAGCTTGGAGGAGAAATTTCTTGGGTTGCCTGCCCAGTGAATGAAGTTCCTAGCCTGTGCCCCCTCCCCATTCAAGCAAGGATTATAGGAACTGGAAGCCACAGTGACTGCGGGTGACGGTTTCCCTGTGTCTCCTGTCTCCTTAGGCCAGGCCCCCAGAAGCAACAGCTTGAAGGACTTCGAAGTGGGAGCCCTGAATTGCTCCTGGCCTCGGGCCCCCTGGATCCGTCGGGGCGCCTCCACCCGGCTGTTAGCATGATGTCTTACCTCAAACAACCCCCGTACGCCATGAACGGGCTGGGCCTAGCTGGCCCAGCCATGGACCTCCTGCACCCCTCTGTGGGCTATCCTGGTGAGCATGGGCCCTTTGTCCCTACCCCTAAGCCTCTGCAAATATTGGGGGATTCCAGCCTTTAACGTTTGAGCCCACCCTGTCCCCACGCAGGCCCAGGGAGCAGATTACCTTGCCGCCTGTTGCCTAGATCTGCTACAGGTTTGAGTCGAGGTCTGGTCAGGCAGCTTAGAAACTGCAGCCTGCAACTTTTGAGCTCGTGATGCCTGCAGCCTGGTTCCTGTGTGCTCCCACTTGCTAGAGAGAGCATGTTTGTTGTCCACCGATTTATTGCCTTCCCTCCGGTTGCTTTTTTTAGTATGTGTATAAAGCCCCTCTCACCCCGATATTTCATGAGGAATCTAAACTCGCTAGGCCCTAACATAAATAGCCAAATTTCCCTTCCGTCTAGCTACCTTGAGAAGCAGAACTCTTTCTCCCCCGTCAGAGCGTCCTAGAGACAAGCGACCTAACCCAACACTCCCGCGGTGGTGGGCCACTCCAGCCAGCTGAACCCCGAGTTTCTTTTCTAGATACTACCTCTTTGCTTGAATTTCTTCTCTAGGAAAGTGTCCCTAGGTCCCTGTTTCTGCCTACCTCTATTCTGCTTCCTGTCTCTCAGCCAGAAGTGTGTGGGCTTGGGGAGATGAGGAGAGGATGGTTTTGTTTTTAATCTGAGAGGCGCGGAGGGCGCAGGCCCTGATGTTTCAGACTGGAGCCTCCAGGAGAAAACATACACACTTTGTCCCACCTGTGGCCAGGGAAGTTCGCGTTTGCTAGAGGTCGGCCTTGCCTTTTCACGGCGGGGTTCTGGACCTAACAGAGGACCTGCGTGTGGTCTCTAGTGCCAGTCCTCGTGGGCCACTACTGACTCCAGGCACCCTTGCATGTCCCTGCAGCCACTCCGCGGAAGCAGCGACGGGAACGCACCACCTTCACGCGCTCGCAACTGGACGTGCTGGAGGCGCTTTTCGCCAAGACTCGCTACCCAGACATCTTCATGCGGGAGGAGGTGGCGCTCAAGATCAACCTGCCTGAGTCCAGAGTCCAGGTGCGCGATCCTGTGGCTCCAGGGTTAGGGTTGGGGCTCGGTCGGAGATCGGGCCTGGGCGGTCTGGTGTTGAGGCCCCTTCACGGACAGGACAGCCCCTCTCCAACTCCCCCTAGCGCTGAGCTTTAGTCTGCGAAAAGGGGTAACATTATAAAGTAATGGCTTGAAGCCCTTGTCCCCAGGGCGCTTTCAATGTTGGAAGTCGTTTTCTTTGGATTTTGGGGAAGCCAGCCCTGTTTCCCGGATGTAACTTTCTCAGAAGGTTAGATAATGGCCCCTCGTTCTTGCTACTCCAGAACTTGGCAGTTTCTTAATGAGCCTAGCTCTCTGCTTCCGCTCTTGTCTTTCATACCCTTGCCCTGCGTCCTGGGGATTCTAAAAGTGTAAGATGGAACTTGGCAACAGCCTAGCGCTTTCTGCCTCTGCCTCAGCGTGTACTCTGCGGGTGGAGTCGGTCTGGTTAGGGGTTTTCTCCAGCCGAATGGATACCGAGTGTAAAATCCAGATGCTGGCTTTACCATTTCTAACACGAAACTGTTCGGAAAATAGAGTTCTGAGTTAGTCTAAGTCTTCCCCGAGGTCTTTTATCTCGACTTCTTTCCCCGAAGGCTTGAGAAGGGACTGAGATTGCAATGCCCGGCCTCCTCCAAAAGGAGTGAGAATTTATGACTTACCGTTCCATTTGGTACCCCACCTGGAGCCAAAAGGCCCAAGGAAATCTCACCCAGGCTTCCTTCACGAGAAGCCCCAGTACTGGAGTACTGCTTCCGTTCAGCCTCCAGCCTTGCTTCTGTTCCCACCCAAATATTTGCCCTGCTCAACTCCAGTCTCCAGGAGCCGATTCGGTGAACCCCCTCGGGCCCCAGACTTGGTGACTGCCCTACACTCCGATGTTCTGTACCTCTCCGCTGTTTCCTGAGCTCTGTTCATGGAAAACAGGGCCTCCAAACTAAAACGGGGCTGCGGGGAAGCAGCCAACCGCAACAGCTTAGAGATGGCTGAACTTCTGGCTGGACAGACGCAAACGTTCCGCCCTCGGGCAGAGTTGCGCTGGGCTTGGGGAGGTGCGCATCCCTCCTGGAGGAGGCTGACTGGGGGGCCTTTGCGCAAAAGGATGGGGGAGGGAGCCAGAGCTGGGTACCTAGCACGTGCGGGGGAGGGGACAGGGTCTGGCAGGGTCGGAGACTGGGAGGGGTAGAGGCTGGGATTGAGAGGTCCCCGAGATCCTGGGCGGGGTGTGAGTCCAAGGGGCGGAGGAGCTGTGAGCTCCACTAGCCAGCCCCCCTGATCCCCCTCTCCCTGCTCACTGCAGGTTTGGTTCAAGAACCGCCGCGCCAAGTGCCGCCAGCAGCAGCAGAGCGGGAACGGAACGAAAAGCCGGCCGGTCAAGAAGAAGTCGTCTCCAGTGCGGGAGAGCTCGGGCTCGGAGAGCAGCGGCCAGTTCACGCCGCCTGCTGTGTCTAGCTCTGCCTCCTCGTCTAGTTCAGTGTCCAGTGCCTCCGCCAATCCGGCGGCTGCTGCGGCCGCGGGCCTGGGTGGGAACCCGGTGGCTGCCGTGTCCTCTTTGAGTACGCCTACCGCTTCGTCCATCTGGAGCCCGGCCTCCATCTCGCCAGGCTCAGCGCCGGCATCCGTGTCCGTGCCAGAGCCACTGGGCGCGCCAAGCAACGCCTCGTGTATGCAGCGCTCGGTAGCGGCAGGTGCTGCCACTGCAGCGGCCTCCTACCCCATGTCCTATGGCCAGGGCGGAAGCTACGGCCAGGGCTACCCCGCACCCTCCTCTTCTTACTTTGGCGGTGTAGACTGCAGCTCCTACCTAGCGCCCATGCATTCTCATCACCACCCGCACCAGCTGAGCCCCATGGCACCCTCCTCCATGGCTGGTCACCACCACCACCACCCGCATGCACACCACCCACTGAGTCAATCTTCAGGTCACCACCACCACCATCACCACCACCACCACCACCAAGGTTACGGAGGCTCTGGGCTCGCCTTCAACTCTGCCGACTGCTTGGATTACAAGGAGCCTGCCGCTGCCGCTGCTTCCTCTGCCTGGAAACTCAACTTCAACTCTCCCGACTGTCTGGACTATAAGGACCAAGCCTCGTGGCGGTTCCAGGTCTTGTGAGCCCAGGAGTGAGAGGAAGTGGAGAAGAAACGCAACTACCTGCGCCCTCCGTGGTCCCCATCCTGTTGCTGCTGCTGCACCGCTCGCCTTCGCCTTGGCTTTTCCAAAACTGAATTTTCACGCCCCCAAGACGTCCATTGCCTGCACTGCCGCTCCCGTCTTTGTGCCATTTGCTTGGGTTGGGGGGGGGTGTAGACCCCTCTCCCCCTTGGAGGTGGGGCCCGGTGCTTCAACTTGGCCCTCAGTTTCTTCATGGGATGGCAGTGTGCTCTCCCGCTCGACTCGTGCGTCACCCCTTCAAGTCTTTCTGGACAGCTTTTCTGCACCTGGAGCCTTCTGAGGCTCCTCGCCCTGACCCTCTCTGTTTTGAGCTCAACAGTTTTATTTATTCTTTCTGGACACTGAAGTCACTAACTGGCATATTATCTACTGTTTGGAGTGCGCCCATACACACTCCTCCAAATCAAACCCACCACTGTCTCTCCTAGCAGACTGTCTCCCTTCAGCTGCCCTTGATCCAGCCTCCCCATCTGCAGGCCAGAGCGTCCAGCATGTCCACCTCCCCAATGGTGAGCGCTGAGCCAGGCCTTTGGGAGGAGGGTGCCCCAGCCTCCTTCCCTGCCCTGCGCTGGACTGATTCAAGCTTCTGCCTCGGCGGGAATGCTGTACATAGTCGGGTCCGTTCCAGGGACCACTTAAACTTTTTAGTTGCTGTTGGTTGAACTGAGCATCTCTCTTGTTTTAGCGTCCAGGAAACAGAACTTTAAAAATATATACATCACATATATATATACACACACATATATATATATAACAAAGGCAAAAAAATATTTCCCCTTTGTGCCCATTCCTCTTGCTCAAACGATGGCGGCTCTTATTTTTCAGTTGTCACAAGCTGTCCTGCCCCTCTTCACATCTCCCTTTGTGTATTTATTAAAGAAACCCGCTTGGTTCCTGGAAGCTGGGCGCTGGAGGATCAGAAGTGAAGGAAACAGCTAAGTCGGGGTACAGGGTTGGGGCTAGGCTGGGCCGGGCGTAGGACCGAGCCCTTCATCCAAGTTTCGGCTTAGAAATGAACAAAAGAGGTGAAATGACAACATTGTGAAGCCCCAGTCCCAGGTCCAGTTCCTCTGTGGGTGTCTCTCTCTTTAAAACACCCCTGTCTGTTTAGTGAGTTTTTAGTGACCCTTCCCTCTCCGAAATCTGCGGAGAGCACCTGTGTATCTATCAGTTTTGGTTTTGGCCGCTTGGTCCAGTAGGTGGGAAAGTAATTTGTAAATTTGATTTGTCCGATGTGAAGATCACAAATTACTTGTTGAGATGTAAGGCAGTCCGTCTCCTCTTCCTCTTTATCTACATTATTTCCCGAAAATAAAAGCAGATTCATGAATGGCCTGTCAGCATTGCTCTTCCAATTCCAGCTTCGGGGCTCGGTCTCAGGGGATTAAAGAGAAGGAAAACTGTGCTAATAACCCGCGTGTTAATGACCTACGCGAAGCTGGGAGGCTGAAGAATAAGGTGGGAAGTCATGGCAAGAGGAGTCCCCCCAAAGTGTTCTTTTAGGGTGTGTTCCTCCCCCCCCACACACACACACTCCGCCTGATCCCGGCCTCTCCCTCTCCGAGGTTTTGACCCTGCACCTCCTTGCCATCTAGGACAGACACAGGTGTCAGGACTCAATTCCAGAAACAGCTCCTTTCTCTTCAGAGGCAGGAGCCTGGCACTGATCTCTTCACCCTAATTGCCTGCACCAGAAAGAAGAGGGGGGGGAGGGGAAGAGAGTCTGGAGGCGGGAAAGGATACCGCTGTAATGCTCTCTGAGCTGAGCCAAAAAGGAAAACAAAACGGAAAAAAAAAAAATCTCTGTCCTGCACGTTGGCAGCAGAGAAGCGTCCCTTTGGCTGAGCTGTCCCGGGTGGCTTCACGGTGACTGTGGGATCCTCGAGTCCAACCGCGTGCTAAGCAGTTTTCCTAAACCATTCGTTCGCATCAGAAGTTGTCAAATCACCAAACTATCTTTCCTAAGGGTTCTTTAAAACAAACACAAATTGACCTTACGAGTTTCACTTCCTCAGAGGAGGAAGACACCTTGAGTGGAGGGCAGTTCGCCTTCGGACTAGCGCAGACCAGGGCTTGTCAGTGTTCCCAGCCTCCCCAGCCCAGCCTCCCGGCCAAGGTTTGGGAGTCTAAACGGTGAGGGAAACTATTAATAATGTCGGCTGTCCAAGAAAACCCAGGGCCCACAACTGTCCAGCCTGTTCTACCTGACGGTTCCCGAGCGTGAGGCCAAGAAGCCGTGCCCACGAGCGGGAGGAAATAAGGAGACAACGAAAAGTTGCCTGCGGAGTCAGCCGCACCCCCTATTCCTGCTCTTTCGTGAGACTCGCGACCCCAGGCTTGGGGTCGCGCCAGCGAGGTGACAGGCCTGCGAGCCTTGGCTGTAGGAAAGCCTTCCCCAGCCTGTCCCGCCTGGGCTCCGGCGGCTCCGCTCCGGCCCAGTCTCCCCAACCGAGCAGCCAGGGCGGAGGGCGAGCCTGTGCCCGCGGGACCTCTTCTGGGTGAGCTGCCCCCGCCAGGGCCGCTCGCGGACACCGGCCCCGAGCGCCCGCTCCACCCCTCATTGTGCACGCTGGCCCCTGGCTGCCGGGTCCCGCGCGTTCGCGGGAAGCGGGGGCCCGAGGTCCAGGCTGGGGGCCGGGAGGAGACGTGGCCGTCGCACAGGTCCCGCCCCAGGCGGCCCGGGACCGCGTAGTCGCCGCTCCAGAGGCCCCGGGGGGAACCGAACCAGGAGACCCGGCCTAGCGTGGCCTCCGGAGCAAGGTACTCGACCCCCGCGGGCCTCGGGTCAGTGGTCAGTCGGCCGGACTGGCCTGGGTGCTTCGCGAACTTTCCGGTCGCGGTGGGGGCGGCGGGGGCAGCTGGGGCCTGGGCTCCCGGGAGCTCGGGCGCGCGGCCCGGTTCCCGCCTGCAGCTCGAGGCTTCGCGGAGCGGCGGGCACGTGCTTCTCCCTGGGGCTGGGGCGGGAGCCCGGGGGTGGGCGGCTGGCGGGGGAGGGCGGCCGAGGTGGCCCGGGGTGGGGTCGGGGATGGGGGCCCGGGTCCCGCGCCGGTGCGCGGTCCTGGGCGGAGGGGACGCGCGCGGAGCCTGGGCCGGCGGCCACCTGTTCGCAGGCGCAGTTTGGGGAGCGTCCGCGGGTCACCCCGTCTCGGGGAGCCCGAGGTGGGGCTGGGGCTGGAGCCCGGCGACAAGAGCGCGACCCGAGCGGCCTGAGCACCGGGCGGCAGGAGGACGTCTGAGGAGCTCGACGAAATGTCCAGGCGCGCTCGGTTCGCAGCCGGCGTCCGCCCGCTCGCTCTGCCGGCCCGAGAGGCCTGTCCCGGGACGGCCACGGGTGCGGGGCGGCGGGCGAGCGGGGCCGGCTTAGAGGCCTTCTAGGCCCCAAACCGGAGCACTGCGTTAATCTGTTGAAGCTCAGTGATCCCCTGGAATGAGACAAGGCTCCTTGGGGCGCTTTTCAGGCTTTGGTACTGGTACCGAGGAGGGTTAGTGAAGACCGCGGGTTTTCTAAATTGTGAATGTGTGCGGGCGTGTGTTTGTTTGTCTGTCTATTTGTTTGGAGAAAATCCTTAAAGCAAACCGGAGGAATCCGATGGCGAGAATAAAACAGGTGAAAAGACTTAATGAGTTGTCAGCAGAGTCACGGGTGCGGTAGTTCAGAGACCAAAGCTGAACCAAACCAAAACACCAAGCTTTTGTTTTAAAATAAAATTATTTTCCCCTCACACATACATCCATGTAATTTGTAGAAAACACCAACCTCCACGGTTATTGTGATTTTTTAATTAATTTTAAAAATAAAAGATAAATTCATTACTAACTGGAAGAATTAATTATAATGTTAATGATGCCAAGGATGTCTGCTGACAAAGCTGTGTCTAAAGGTGAGGAAATAAAATGTATCTGATATATAACTGAAGCTAATATATACGTTATTGGTAAAGACACTCTGCGTGATTGCTATGCAAGACCAGAAAATTACTTGGCTTTTGAGGTAAAATTTATTTAAGAATAGCAATATTCTTCATAAAGTATCTTCATAAACGTATCTTCATAAAGTTCCCTATTAGCCGGGTGTGGTGACGAGAACTGTAATCCCAACTCTCAAGAGCAAACGGGAGGGCACAGGAAGATCAGGAGTTCAGGGCCAACCTCATCTACATAGTGAGAAATCTGCTGGGGCTGCAGGAGACCCTACCTCAAAAACCAAAGCAAACAGCCCCTCTCGTGGCTGCCCAAAAGAAACAACTTAGAGAAGTTACAAGTGATTCCGTGTTTTCCACCGTTTGCCTCCCTACCTTCATAAATGTCAGCATTTCATATGAAAATGGAAATGTCTCAAGATCAACAATAATAAAAATGATCACCAACTTAAATAATATTGCATAACAATGAATTTCTTATTTGACAACAGGGAAGTTACCTCGGTTATCTTAGAGAAACAGTAAGTTCAGATAAACGTTTGGGGATTCTAAATTCTACTTTTTGAAAACCAGAGTTCCCCTGCCTGTTTTTAACAGATGGTTCTCAAGAAAGCAAATATGCCTTTTAATCATTGTGTTGTTATTTACTGGTATCTGAAAAGAAACACACATACAGACACACGTGTGTGTGTGTGTCTGTGTGTGTGTGTGTGTGTGTGTGGTGTAGGAGAGGCACATTCCATTTTGAGCCAGTGTTTTCTTTAATTGTGTTTTAAAATTGAGTTGGCTTTTACTTAAGACACTTTAGGGGCACCCCTTCAGAAGCTTAGGAGCAGAACCCTAGCCTCCAGTCCTCCAGTCACCTCCATGAAATAACAGTCATACAGGACAGTCCCAATTCAGACTGCGTTTAAGTACATCTACTTCTGCTTCTAGGAGAGAGAGAAAAAGTGAATGCTGCTCTCAACACTGAGCAGAGTGCTGCTGTTTTATACAAAACTGCACACCTCCGTTCCTAGTCTACTGCTTGAGCTGTGGGACACCCTGCACGCTGTTAGACATCTTCCAACAAGACTTGCAGTTCAAGTAGATTTAATCAATGATAAAGCATCAGTATAGAACAATTGAAAATCTATTGTTTCTTAAAAAATGTCCCTCTTTTTGGGACAATACCAAAGAGACAAGATTGCATTACATTCCCAGGTAACAAATACCTTTTTTAAAAAAAGATTAATCCTTATTGAGCTGCTTATGAAAACTATTTGGAATTTTTAGAAATTCTTTTAAAGTAGATTGTGAAATTATGATTTAAGGAACTTGAGTCCAAATTGTTGGAGGGATTGAAGTGGAATATAAATAAATCATAACTAATTTTGATACTTGGGGGTAAAAACTAAAATGTAAGAGTAAACGGTCTCTGATTCCACAGCGTGGTGTCTAAAGAGCTTATAAAATATTTTTAGTGTACAAATATTCTTATGTATGTTTAAAGCTCTGAATGCTTCTAAGATATACCATCATCTGTCACAGCTATTTCAAATAGGGATCGTATTTTCTTTTAAAATTATTTTAAATTTTTTCCTGTGAAATATACATATGAAAGAAATTATAAAACAGATTTTTACACTTTAAAAAATAATGAAATATACATGGTGTTACAAGTTTTTAACAAATTCTTTGAGAAGTAGACTTACAGTTGGTTACAGTGTCAGTATTGAAACTTGATGTTCAATAAAATACATCCATGTTTTAGGTATTTGGTTAAG